CATGGACAAACAGGTTAGTCATTTGCAAAAGAGGGCCATAGCCTAACAATAGGCATGATTAATAGTCAAGCCTATTATAATAATAAGCAATAAGCAATATTAATAATAAGCAATAATCAATATTAATCAAGCCTATATGCTATGGCCCTCTTTTGCATGTGACTAACCTGTTTGTCCATGTAGAGGCAGTGCTTATAAGGCTGAGTTCACCTGAAACTCATCAGACTGAAGAAGTCTCTTGGAGGAGAGATGGAACGTTTCACTAAAGAAGAACCCATCCAGAGGACCTACTTTTTTTTGTCTTTTTGGTCCTGTGTTTAACTTTTATTTGACCAAACCTGTAAAAGGTTGCATTAAGTGTCTTAATCTGTGTCCTGTCAACAAGTTTGTAGATTATTTCTTCAGCTATCGTTTGTTTTAAATTTCAACTGTTAAACCGTAGTAAAAATTGATAGCTCAAATTTCCCCAACAGTTTTAAAAACACACCTTAGCAGTGTTCACTGCTGCTCCGTAGCCGGTGCAGATCCCACAGCCGATGAGACAGACCTTGTCCAGAGGAGCAGCAGGGTCAATCTTAGCCACAGCGATCTGATCGATGACGGTGTACTCGGAGAAGGTACTGGTTCCAACAAACTGGAAGATCTTTTTYCCTTTACAGGTGATCCTGGATTCTGCTCCCACCAAGGATTCCATAATAACTCTCTTCCTGTTCAAAATTATTGTGTTTAGATAATTTATTTTATTTTATTATTGAACTAAACAGCATAGAATAGAACACATTGTATTGTATGGCAGCAGATGAATGCTCACCATGCTACTATACACTGGTTGGTCTTTGGACTCTTACAGAAGCAACACTCCTTACACTGAGAGAGGAAAATGGGGATGACCTTGTCTCCTTAAGACAAACAAACAAAAATGGTCTGTTTATTTTATTAGCAGTTTTTGATTTTGATCCCATTTTAAGGTTTTTACACTCAAAACAGCACAGTGGCTCAGTGGTTAGCACCAACGTCTCACAGCAAGTATGTAACTTACTCAATTTCATTGATGTAAGAAGCTGATTCTCCTTATTTAAAAAGGGGGGTTTTATGTATTTTCCAGGCACATAGTTCAATTCTATACCACAGTCAAGTAACTATGTTACTTTCAGCTTTTATGAAAATGTTGTAAATATCAAAAATAACTTTGACTTCACATCATAGTTTATCAAAATACCTTGATATTGGTCTTTTTAAGAACCTACTGTTTCCTACACTTCCACTTCAGCGCATCATCACAACAGTGCTTCGGGGGAGGGGTGTTCCGTGGGGCGGGAGCTCGGCTGCAGACTGAGACCCAAGGAGGAGCTTTGTGTAAATAGGCGGAGCTTTGTATGAGCATGTGTCTCCACGTGGCTACCACAGGAGATTCAAGGATTTCTCAAACACGCATGAATGAGTCAAAGCAACACTCCGGGTCTGCTTTTGATGAAGGAATGACATTGTAGCATGACATGAAGCTAAATAGATTTTGTATAATATCCCCTTGAAATTTAAATAATGATTACAATCAAAAACCTGGAACACACCTGGTTGGAACTCTGTGACTCCAGGTCCGATACTCTCCACGATGCCTGCAGCCTCGTGGCCGAGGATTGTTGGGAAGCCATCTTTGTGCATCCCCTCGTAAAGGTGGTACAGGTCTGAGTGGCACAGCCCTGTGGCTACAATCTGTCACAAAGACAGCAACCAGGGAATAAAATAGCAATGATTTGGGAAAGAAGCTTTGCAACACTAAGACAGATGTTGTCTTTTTCAAGAAGATTTGTCTTACGGGACACAAAAACTTCTCTCCCCCAAAAACTGCTRTGAGAAAATGCATGTGCACCGGTGTATTTTTGATGCAGAGTTTTCTTACCTTAATGCGGACCTCGTTCGCCTCTGGTGGGGCCACTTSAATCTCTTCAATCACCAAAGGCTTGTTGGGCTCCCAGGCCACTGCTGCCTTACATTTGATGACCTGAAGAGAAGTGACCCACACAGCAAAACACATACACACAACAAGAAAAGTAATAATTACACAGGGCAAGAATTGTCACTATTTATGGAGAATGCTAGCAAAAAGGGTTACCTTCAGTTGTTATGAGATAGCTGTATATATCACAAATATTATTTTTATTTTAGTGCATTAATGCCACCAGTGTGCACAAATTTGAAGTATGTTTATTTTATTATTGATCTTGTTTGAAGCATTTTTTTGCTGTACTGCATCTTCCCCTCTTCTAAGACATTTTTCCCGTATGGGAGACAATAAATTATCTCATCTAAATAAATCTGACTTCACATCTAAACCTTGAAATTGGCCTCTGTCTCTTTAAGAACATCCTACCATTTCTGACACTCCCACTTCAACACATCTTCACAACAATGCTTAGGTGTAACGAGGCTCTGTGGGGAGACAGTTCGGCTGCAGACTGAGCTCCAGGGAGGAGCTTTGTGTAAATAGGCGGAGCTTTGTAGCAGCAAGTGTTTAGGCAGCTCCACATGGCCACAGGAGATTCAAAGATTTCTCCAACATGCACGAATGAGTCCAAACAACACTCTGGGTCTGTTTTTAATGAAGAAATGACATTATAACATGATATAAAGCTAAAGATACATTTTGCATAACACTCCTCCTTTAAAATAATAAGACAAACACACAAATGTGTTGTCTTTGTTCTAATGTTTTCTTGTCATAATCACAGTTTTACTTTGTGGTTTGATGTTCTTCAGTTTGATTTTGTTTTGTATTTTATTCAACCACATAAATTGGTGTATGCCAGTTCTCCAAACAGGCCCCACAAATCAGCAGAATTATTGATCACATCAACTCTGTGGATGAATATATTAAGTTCACACGAGAGGATGTAAAAAATGGCAGGTTGGCTTTCCTGGATTGCGATGTCTCGGTTTCGGATGGGGGACAGTTGGAAACTGGCGTRTATSGTAAGCCCACCCACACAGACCAATATTTGCGTTTTGACTTCCTCCACCCACTGGAACACAAGTTAGGAGTGATCAGGACTCTGTACCACAGAGCAGACAGTGTCCCTACAAACMCAGGAGCCAGGGAGAAAGAGAAATCACACACACGACAGGCCCTGGAGCAGTGTGGTTATCCTGACTGGGCTTTCCTGAAAGCAGACAGGAAACRCAGACAGGATTCCATGCAACCTTCAGGTGAAAATGAAGACCCCAAACCAGTGGTTATTCCATATGTTGCAGGTGTTTCGGAGAAACTGAGATGTTTATTTTCTAAACATGATGTCCCAGTGGCTTTCAAACCCCAAAACACATTACGGCAAAGGCTGGTTCACCCCAAAGATCCGGTGCCCCGGCACAAACAGAGCAATGTTGTATATGCTGTTAAGTGCCAGGAGGACTGCGACCAGTTATCGGGGAAACAAAGCAGCCACTGTTCAAAAGAATGTCCCAACACAGACGAGCTACGTCTAATGGCCAGAACTCTGCAGTTTTCACTCATTTACAGGCCAGCGGTCACTCTTTCAGAGATGAGGATGTTCTCGTTCTTGATAGAGAGGAACGTTGGTTTGAGAGAGGAGTAAAAGAAGACATTTTTGTGAAGAAAGACTGTCCATCTTTAAACAGAGGTGGAGGCCTCCGTTTTCAGTTGTCCCCCTCCTACAGTGCTGCTATTGCCAGTATCACTTCACCCCTGTTAACAATAGGTGTTAATTAGGTGTCAACGATAGCCATGTGATGTGAGTATCAGTCACACGGAAGCAGTGCTTAAAAGCCTGAATTTTGCCTGAAACTCTCAGACTGAAGAAGTCTCTTGGAGGAGAGACGAAACGTTTCATTAGAGAAGAACCCGTCCAGAAGACCTATACAATTTTTTTTTAATTATTGGGATTTAAAAAAATCTCTTTTGCTTCCATCTATCTGTGGTCAGGTTGTGGAACGAAGAGGCCCAGGACGAAAAGAACCTTTCCAGTTCCTTCTGAGAATTCTTAAAGGGCTGCCAGGTGGGATAAAATACCTAATCCCCCCAGTGAGTTCTGGGTCTGGGACTCCTCTGTTCTGCTCTACCCCGGGACGAAGGAGCTTCTCGTTTTGTCTCAGGCTGAGTTCAGTCACCCTGCAGAGGAGGCTCCTTTTAGCTGCTTTTATTCAGAACCTTGTTCTGCCATGATCTATTCTCTCCGTACCATAGCTGAGGGTCAGAATGCAGATAAACCAGTGAATTGAGAACTTTGGCTTTTAGCTCAGCTCGTTCTTCACCACAACAAACCGGAGCAGTAATCCAATCACCATGGGCCGAGCCTTGATCCATCTTCCACTGTGTCCGGCTATCTTTTGTCAACAACTCTCCCCCTCGAGGCAAAGACCCACCTCAAACCCAGAGACTGGGGTTTGTTCCAGTTAAGAACATGACCTCAGAAATACTCAAAAAAATTCCCACTATTTACACAATTTAACAAAAACCCTGAAAAGGTAAATAAAATAGAAACTGAATTTTTATTATTCATAGCATAAAATCATGAAAACATAAAAAAAATCACACCAATGTTGCCCACACCATTTTGTGGGAAACACTTTCCTGCTCTAACTCGGCTGATTGAAACTGATGGGTAATTAACAGGCTTGTGTAGAACTGGATCACAAGCTGAGGAGGTAATTTAATCATTTGAATCAGGCGTGTTGGAGCAGAGACACAACACACAGAGGGCTCTGATTCTGAGAAGTTAATCACTGGTAACAAGAAATAAATACTGATTCATAATAATAGCAATAAAAATATGCATACATAAGGTATTTTAATAAACAACAGCAGAAAGTTTTATTGCTTGTAATACATATGCGTAGAAGGAAAGCCTCCTGAAGCAATAATGTAACATTCATCTTTTGAGAAAAACAAGGTTTATTGCTGCAATAGTTTATTGCAAAATAACCACTGAAGTCGTTTGTTTCAAATTTTCTAAACTAAACATTTTAGCATTGATTTACACATTTATATTAGACTTTCCTTCTTAATATTACAAACACAAGTTTAGGGAAAACATGCAGGAAACATTTAAAGACAATACAAAAATACTGAGATAAAATGCGGAGGTGGGCAACACAAAGTCAGTGAAACATTACAACCTAGAGCTGTTTTTTTTTCATTTCTGTAACCAGTGTTGGTTAAATTCTGCACACATACATTCTTTTACACAATGCAGGGTCAAAAGTTTGAAATTGAGCACAGATGTGCAGTTGTTCTTACCTTTCCAGCTGTGCTCATTTTTACTCTAAAAGACTTGATCACAGAGAGGAGTCAAGAAATGAAGCCTTCTGCAGAAGACACCACTTTGTGGGACAAACACTGACATGGGCGTGGACCTTAAGCTCAGGTTTTTGAGTTCCCTAACAAGTTCTCACTTGAAAGTCCCCAACATGAGAGGCCTGAGCTGTGGACTGAAAAAAAGAAGAAAAAAGCAAGTGTAGTGCACCTTATTTTACTGAAACACATGGTTTTCTTCTGAACCAACACCAAATAATCTCATTGCTTCCTCATGCATAATTAAATGATTTAAAATATATTTCTGTGCTTTACACATGAATTATTGTGAAGTATTGTGTTTGCAGCATAAGAACAAAGTCCTGACCATGCAGCTTTTTCTATAGGAAATAAGTCTTAAATCTGCAGAAATTTTAGTAATTTCCATTTCTAAAATGAGGCTGTAGTGAGGGGAGAATTAAATACGCATAAATCAAACATAAGAGCAGCAGAGATGAGAGTGCATCTAACTTTAATGGTAAATGCAATGAGCTGCAGCAAAAATACAATTAAAATGCCAGTGAGATGGAGAAAACATACAGAAAACAAGAAAATATCCAAAACAAATAAAGGAAAAATATGACTGAATCACTGTAAAATGAACAGGAATAAACTCAACTTACAGTACTTGGTCAAACCGTAAAACTGAAGCGCTAAAAAGAAGCTGTTGTAAATCAGAAAGTTAATCAAGAAACAGTAAAAGAACAAGTTTCCTAAACTATTTATCAACAATAAGAATGTAAAACAGGGAAGATATATTTTTCTGATCTCATATATATATAAAAACAACTCAATAAACTGTTTTCACTTTTGACCAGTCCAATAAAAACATCTCTGACTGTTGATTTTGCATGTGACGTATCTATTTTAGTTTACTCTCTTTAGTTGGCCTACTTTCCTGACACCTTCAGAACAGAAGCGTTTTAGCTACATCTGTTCTTTTAGGTTTTAGGAGCCACTTTTTTACAATCTTTGTAAATAATGTGGGTCTAAACATTCCTGACTCTTTATATCTTCATGCTGGTGATACAACTGTTTATCATCTGACTAACATTGCCAAGGTTTTTCAGCCTTTGCGGTCCACATTTGACATTATTCATTTTGATCTATTCTCTCTTAAACTGGTACTAAATGCGGATAAAACCAAAAGGAAGCTTTTTTTTTTTAAAGTTGGTGCCAGCATTTCTTCCATTTATCACATCCATAAATGGCGTTCCTTATTATGTTTGTAGACTCATTAATACCTGGGAATTTTAATTTAATCAACTCTGACTTTTAAGCCTGGTATTAAAAACATGTTAAAGACACTAAAACTGAAAATTGGGTTCTTTTTCTGGATCAGATCCTGTTTATCTGTGAATGCCAGGCTGTGGATTATAGCCTCCACTTTTTTTTACCAGCCATTCATTATGGTGACATTAAGAGTGCCTCTTTCAGTTTGGATTTGGTCCACCATGGTGCTTATTCGACTAAGAACCACTTCCATACCCATCGCTGAAGTCAGATGGTCGTCATTACCTTCATGTTGGCTTTCCACTGGTAAATCTGCCTCTTTAAACAAGTCCTTCGTCTGCTTCCTTTATGTATGGCTTCGTGGTTTTATTGTCTTTATTACTCTGTTTTTAATTACTTTTATTGTAACCTGTCATGTTGTCATTATAAAACAGGGCGCTGCTGAAAATGAGTCTGTGAGATTTTCAACTGATTATCCAAGTGTTTCTGCAAAGTTGGGAACATGTAATAAATTAAAGCTTGAGACAAAAATGCCACGAAACACACTTCTTAAATAATTAGTTTTATTTCAGAAACTCATCAAGTTTGACTCAAACAAATGATAGATTATTGATTTTCTGCAGTAGTCTTCACATATTGTGGTGAGAAATCTTGACACAACTGTTTTTGGTCTTATTGTGGTGAAACACTCATGACAACTCGAATGCTGTGGAACACAAGAAATAGACAATTAAAGTTCCACCAATTAAAAAAATATCCATTGGTTTACGAACGTAATAAATAAAATATACCATTTTCCATGCTTCATCAGCTCAATCGCATCATTGATTTGGTCCAAAGTCATGTTGTGAGTGATGAACTCATCCACCTGCAGCTTCTTGTCCATGTAGGCTTTAACCATCTGAGGAACACCGTCTTTGCTTTTGAACCCTGAGAGACAAAAAATTAAACAAAATAATAAAAATAACACAACAGAACTGTAAGAATTTTAATACAGTAAAATGTTATTGTGTTTGTTTCACCTCCAAACATGGAGCCCTTCAAAGTGCGTCCAGCGATGAGGTCAGGTGGTCTGACAGGAATATCGAACTTCTGCGTCCAGCCAACGATCACACAGACACCCCAAGCTGGCAAACAAGACTCCAAGGCACTGCGCTGTGTGGAGAAACACAACAAACTTAAAGGTTCAGTTTTTAAACGTGTACAAAAAGCCATCAAATCTCACCATGACGTCCACCCTCCCAACACATTCCACAGAGAAGTCCACTCCACCATTGGTCATCTCAGCCAGCACTTCATGGATGGGTTTGTTGTGATCTTTGGGGTTCACGTAGTCGGTGGCTCCAAGCACTTTGGCCTTGTCGGCTTTCTCTGGATTGATGTCAACAGCGATGATCCTTTTGGCTCCTGCAGCTTTGCAGCCCATGACTGCAGCCAAGCCCACAGCTCCCAGACCAAACACAGCACATGTGGAGCCTGGTTCCACCTAAAGTACAACAGTCCCACGTTTACTTCAGGCAGAATCAACTCTTTTTGTTGGAGGAAAGATTTGTGTTGTTTTGATTGAACGTTTATCTATCTTGTTATTGCTGTGTATTCATCAGTTTCTCTTGTATCATGGTTCAGTTTGCCAGATTCAGTATTTAACAGCCAGCAGAGATCATATTTGAGTTAGTTTTTTGTCAACAGTAAAAAACAAACAAACATTTTTTCTGCCTTTCAGACACTCGATACTCACTGCAGTTTTTCTACACAAAGGCAGTGGCGGACCTAGGATTTCTCTGAGAAAGGGGCCACAATAGTCATAGAGGGGCCAAGTATTTGTTCAACATTCTTACACACAAATCCCCAGTTTTGCGAAGATGTATAAATTGAACCAGTCACACTTGTTCAAACACTTGTAATAATAAAAAAAAGTTTGCACAGAAAATAATCATTCCCGGTTTTTGCTCTACATAGATAAAATACTCTCAAACACACAGCATGTGAGAAAATCCAGTCATTTTCAGTTTAAAGACTTTTTATGCAGGATTGTTCTATTCTTCTTAAAAAGAGAAGAAAACTTCTGGAAGCTTGATTCTTGTTGGACTTTCCTATTTGACTCATCGGTGCCCCTAGTGTTTGAACATGGAACTGCAGCCACCATTATTGCTCTTGGGCAAAGGACAGATGAGTGACATTACAGGGGCACTTCAGGGAGGCTATAATCAGGTTTCAGCTGGTTACCTGTTCACCTGTGGCCACGCCCCTATAACTGCCCCTGCACAATAGGCAATTCTATTGCGAAACTATTAATAACATTGAATTAACTTGTACAGGAAAAACTTCTTTATATGTAATCTAAACCACAATGTTTCAATGCATCTAATTTACTTTTAGACATTTTTATTATTGTTATGAACCATTTGTAATGATTGGGTTTGTTTTATTGATGATGACATAGTATTGGGGCAGCCTTGGCGGAGTGGTTAGGGGAGTCGTCCTGGAACCGGAAGGTCGCCGGTTCAACAGTGTCAGTGTCAAAATGCCTAAATTCTGCACTGCTCTAAACAGGTGAAAGACAGAAAAAAAATTGTGTGTGTTCCAAAAGTAGTGTGCCACAGGGGAATTAAAATTGAATAAAAATGACAAAAGTGGATCAATAATCCACAGCTACAAACAGGAGGTTCAGAAACGGACAATGCAAGAGTTTGCAGCGACCGCTTTCTAACAGGTAAGGATCACATTTAAATCGTGTTTTCGAATATATTATTGGACAGTTACTGGGATTTGGGTTTTACAGAAGCTAAATAAATTATTTACATGTAAATCCAACCACATAGAAATAACAGGGGTTAACTCGTTGTTAGCGTTAACAATAGCATTGTTATCATTGGCTAATTGATTTGATTTGATTTATTTATTTAACAGAAAAAGATTATTAAAAATCAAGCCTGACTCAGCATGATTGCTGTTTTACAGCAGGTTCCTGTTCTGCAGCACATAAAACACTCAGAATTACAGCATCACAATCACATCATTATACACCATAAACACAAAGACAAACAAAATTACTTAACAGTTTTAAATACACACCTTAGCAGTRWTCACTGCTGCTCCGTAGCCGGTGCAGATCCCACAGCCGATGAGACAGACCTTGTCCAGAGGAGCAGCAGGGTCAATCTTAGCCACAGCGATCTTATTAAGGACGGTGTACTCAGAGAAGGTACTGGTTCCAGAAAACTGAAAGATCTTCTTTCCCTTACAAGTGAACCTGGATTCCACGCCTACCATCGCCGCTGGATTTATTTTCTTCCTGTTCAAGATCATTTTTCAAATGAAACTGTTGTTTGCTTGTCTTGTTCTATCAGCTAAATGATTTGTTTTGTTTTATAAAAACTGAGAAAACAAACTAAAGCAGAAGTTCAGAATGAATAATGGAGTAGAGGAGGGCTCACCATGCTAACTCACACTGGTTGGTYCTTGGATTCTTACAGAAGCGACATTCTTTACACTGGGAGAGGAAAAGAGGAATCACCGTGTCTCCTAAAAAGATTTTAAACAACGTCATTATGGTCAGACTGTAGTAGGCTTATTTAACTGGTAATTTTCCCATGTCATTGTAATAAACCCAAAACATGGTATTTATTTAATGAATTTCTGTGAATACCACACAACTCTGGGAACATTCTGTTTGTAGTAAAATTTTGCAACAGACCTGGCTGAAACTCTGTGACTCCTGGTCCGACACTCTCCACGATGCCAGCAGCCTCGTGGCCGAGGACTGATGGGAATCCATCTTTAGGCATCCCCTCATAAAGGTGGTACAGGTCCGTGTG